TATATATATATATATATATATATATATAATAAAAGGGAAAGGATAAAAGGAGACAGTATGTCGCAACCAGCAGCAGATGCACCATAAGCAGGAGATGCAGCAGCAGCACGAGAAAGACAAGCAGCAGCAGCAGATGCAGCATAAGCAGCAGCAGCACAAGCAGCAGCAGCAGCACAAACAGCAACAGCAGCACAAGCACCAGCACCACCACAAACAGCAGCAGCAGCAGCATAAGCGGCAACAGCAGCATAAGCAGAAGCAGCAGCACCAGGAGCAGCAGCAGCAGCAGCAGCAGCAGCAAATAAGAGATACCTTGCTGCTCTAGAGAGTGCCTTCGTTGCCCCTGGCACATCCATTCGTACTAGGCGACGAAGGAGAGCAGCAGCAGCAGCAGCAACTGGTGTAGGAATAGGAGCAGCAGCAGCAGCAGCAGTTGATGTTCCTTCTGCTGGCTGCTGCTGCTGCTGCGTCAGGGGGAATACAGCTAGCAGCAGCTGGAAGTATTGGAGGGTGCCCTGCAGCAGCAGCAACAGCAGCAAAAGCAGCAGCAGCAGCGGCAAAAGCAGAAAGGAGGTAGTGTAATAGACTGCAACTGTTGTTGGAAGCAGCAGCAGCAGCAACAGCAGCAGCAGCAGCAGCTGCAGCAGCAGGCTTACTGGCTTGCTGCTGTCCTTGATTAGCTGCATAACGTAGGCCTTAGAGACATGCGCATCTAATAAAGCATTAATACCAAATAAATAAATAAATAAATAAATAAATAAATAAATAAATAAATAAATAAATAAATAAATAAATAAATAAATAGTCTCCTTTTTTTGTCTCCTTACCTCTACTCTTAAGGTGCTGCGGTCTCCATAGAACGCCAAGGCCAAGAGACAGCATCTGCAGCGCGAGGCAGAGGCGGCCAGAGGAGACAGCAGCAGCAGCAGCAGCAGCAGCTGCTGCTGCTGCTGCTGCTGCTCCACCACTCCCTCCTGCTGCTGCTGCTGCTGCTGCTCCTGCTGCAGCAGGGAGACTCTCTATAAGGATAACCCTAGCAAGATGTTGCGTAACAACAGCAGCAACATCTATACCACCAACTGCAGCAGCAAACACAAAAAGGAGACAAAAAGGAGACAAAAAAGGAGATAAAATAAAATAAAAGAATACAAGGAGACACAAGGAGACAAAAGGAGACAAAAAAGGAGACAAAGAGGCAAAAAGGGAAGAAAGGAGACAAAAACACCTACATGTCTCCTCTAAACCCTCATAAACCCTCGTAAACCCTAATAAACCCTCATAAACCCTCTAAACCCTCATAAACCCTCGTAAACCCTCATAAACCCTCTAAACCCCCTAAACCCTTTTTTAGGGTTTACCTCTGCTGAATTCAGGACGAAGATACACTGCATGCGCTAGCAGCACGAGTGCAGCATCAACAGAGTTAGAGTGCTGCAGCAGCAGACAGGAGGGGACACGGAGGAGACACAAGGAGATAACAGCAGCAGCCGCAGCAACAGCAGCAACAGCACAAGAGACCCTGTCCCCCTTTTTGTGTCTTCTTTCTCCTGTAGGGTTTATATTTTAGGGTTTATTAGGGTTTATTAGGGTTTAGGGTTTATTAGGGTTTAGGGGTTTACTAGGGTTTAGGGTTAGCAGTAAACCCTCTAGGGCTTACCTTATGGACTTCTCCCGTTGCAGCAGCAGCAGCAGCAGCAGCTGCTGCTGCTGCTGGTCCAATACCCCATGCTGCTGCGCAGCAAAGGAGACGCAGAGCTGCCTCGATGTCCTGCAGCAAGTTGGTGCAGCTGCTGCAGCAGATAGCATACTGCAGCAGCTGCAGCGCAGCAGCAGATACTTCTCCTGTGTCTCCTCTAGGTAGACAGGAGTAAGCAAGAGCAAAGAGACTAATAGGAGGTACAGGTGTCTCTCCTCTCTCTCCTTGCTGCTGCTGCTGCTGCTGCGGAGGTAGCAACAGCTGCTGCTGCTGCTGCGGAACCAGCAAAAAGTGCTGCTGCTGTTGCTGTTGCTGCTGTTGCTGTTGCTGTTGCTGCTGCTGCTGCTGCTGCACGAGGGTAGGGTAAGACTGTCCTAGCCTCTGCAGACTATTAAGGAGACACTGCTCTATTGCTGTCCCTAATTCATCTGTCTCCTTATTAGGGAGACGCAGCAGCGGCAGCCAGCAGCAGCGCAGCAGCAAAGAGAAGGAGGAGATAAATTTAGCCTTAAGGAAGGGAGAAGCAGCAAGTACAGGGGAGTGCTGCAGCAGCAAACAAGGACCATCAAGTGCAGCAGGGGACAGTAGCTGCTGATGCTGCAGCAGACCTGCTGCTGCTGCAGCAGCAGCAGCAGCAGATCCTGCTGCTGCTGCAGCTGCTCCTGTTGCTGCTGCAGTAGGAGCTCCTCCTCTAGATACTGCCCATAGAACTCTCTCCTCAGGGACAGCGCGGCATATATGCGACACTCCTGCTGCTGCTGCTGCTGCTGCTCCTGCTGCTGTACCTTTTGACCCTCCTCCCGTTGCTGCTGCTAGCAGTAACGCACCATCCCTGCGTTCTGCTGCTGCTGCTGTCCTTGCTGCTGCTCCTCCTGCTGCGGTGGAGGCAGCAGCTGGGGACCCCACAATGCATTCTTGCTTCAGTCTGTAGGTAGACAGCTCAATCATCCACAGCTGCTGCTGCTGCTGCTGCTGCTGCTGCTGCTGCTGCTGTTGCTGCTGCTGCTGCTGTTGCAGCTGCAATTGTTGTTGCCTTTGGCGTCTTCTGTAAACAGCAGCAACCTTTCGCGACAGTGCATCTTCTGCTGCTGTTGCTGCTGCTGCTGCAGTCGTGCTGCTGCGCATTGCTGCTGCATGCGATGCCCATGATGTTGGGGCTTTAGGTTTATAAGAAAGAGAAGAAAGAGACAAATCTAAGGCCTCATACAGTCTATCGTCAGCAGCAGCTGCTGCTGTTGCTGCTGCTGCTGTTCCTGCTGCTGTTGGTGTTGCTGCTGCTGCTGCTGCTGCTGCACTAGGGGGAGGATACGTCAGTTGGACAGCAGAGCTTAAACTGCGGAGAGAAGGAAGACGTAGAGTTGACGCCACGACGCTGCTGCTGTTGCTGCTGCTGCTGCTGCTTCTGCTGCTGCTGTTGGCTTTACACTTTAGCTGCTGCTGCCAGCGACGCAGCAAGCGACAACTCACAGGAGGTGCAGCAGCAGTTGCTGCACCTTCTATAACAGCTGCTGCTGCTGCATCTGCATGCGCAGCTAGTGCAGCAGCAGTAGCAGCAGGAAGCGGAGCAGCACCGCATGCATGCGAACCAGCATGACAGTGTAACAGCCCTTCTGTTGCTGCTGCTGCTGCTTCTGCTGCAGCAGCAGCAGCAGCCAGTGCGACGCTGTCAGCAGTTGCTGCTGCCGCTGCCGGCTGGGTTTGCTGTTGATGGTGCAGCAGCACCTCTCGGGCAGCTCGACGGGCAGCTGTTGCTGCTGCTGCAGCAGCAACAATCTGCTGCTGCAGCAGATCTGCTGCCATTGCCTTTAATACTAAGGAAGGCAAAGGAATAGCAAGAGACATCTCTACCCCTAATAAGGCAGGGAAGAGAGGAAGAGGAGGAGGCAGCAAAAAAGGGAATAGCTGCAGCAGCGCAGCATCTGCTGCAGCAGCAAACCCAAAGGGTGCAAAGAAACCCGATAGCAGCAAAGCCTGTAATGGCAAACTGCTGCTGCTGCTGCTGCTGCTGCTGTCGCTGCTGCTGCTGCTGCTGCTGCTCATTGACAAATTATCTAGGGGCAGCATTAAGACACCACAATTTGCATATATGGTGTATTGTGCTGCACCGCAGCAACAGGAAGCACATGGTGCCTCTGCTTCTGCTGCTGTCTCTGCTGCTGCTGCTGCTGCTGCTGTTGCCCCAGATACTTGCTGCAGCAGCGGTGTTAAGCTAGCAGCAGCACCCGCGCGCCGATGCTGCTGCCCGTTACAGTGCTGTATAGTTGCTGCATTTCCATTTGTCTTGCCTGTGCTGCTGCTGTTGCTGTTGCTGCTGCTGTTGCTGCTGCTGCTGCTGAGCAGCGGGAAGCGGCTGGTAGTAGTAATGTCTCCTCTAGGTTTAGGGGCGAAGATATGCGAGCCCAACATAGGTGTTGGATCCTCCTCTTCCTCTTGCTGCTGCTGTTGCTGCTGTAGCTGCTCCCTCTGCTGTTGCTGCTGTTGCTGTTGTTGGCTGCTGCAGCAGCAGCAGCAGCAAGAGGTAGTAGGTAGCTGCAGATGACCAAGAGCTATACCCCATCTAGTTAACTCCATGTGCGGAGAAGAAGCAAAGAGACTATGATTTTGTATAAAGAGACAGAATTGTTTAGGTAGATACAGCTGCTGCTGCTGCTGCTGCTGCTGTTGCTGCTGCTGTTGCTGCTGTTGCTGCTGCTGCTGTTGTATAAGACCAGGTAACTGCAGCAAAGGTATAACTGCTAGCAGCAAACCTGATTGTATTTTCCATAAGAAAAGAGTTGTAGTTGTTATGCCGCAGCAGCAATCAGACAGAAGATCTGCTGCTACCTTGCGCAGCAATTTGCTGCTGCAGTTGGGGTGTCTCTGCAGCAAGAATATACCTTGAGGGTTAGTAGGACGTGGTATATGCTGCAGCAGCAAACGGAGACAACCTCCTGCTGCTGCACCTCTATAATGTATTGATATTGGTGTCTCTACAAACCCTACTAATTCTTGTCCTGCTTCTGCTGCTGCTGCTGCTGCACCTGCTGCAGCAGGTGCAGCAGCAGCAGCAACACCAGCAGCAGTCATTCCTCTTCCAGTACTTGTCGTAGATGGACCCCCCCCTGCAATTGCTGCTGCACTACCACCAGCAGCAGCAGCTGCTGCTGCTGCAGCTGCTGCAGTTGCTGCAGCAGGTGTTAATAGTTTGCTGCAATCAATAAGAGCAAGAACACCACATGTAGATGCAGCAGCAAAGCACCAACTATCATATGCTGCTCTGCTGCTGCCTCCAGCAGCAGATAATACCCTATAAGCAGCAGCAGCAGCAGAAGGTAACACCATAGGGAGAAACCCCACCAATAAACACCCTGGTAAACACCATAGTAATAAATCCCCATTGTTTGTTAATCCCCCTACTAGTAGACTACTAATGCTGCATAATGCAGTAATTATTGTCTTTTTCCCGCTGCACCCTGGTGCTCCTCTACCTCCTCCTGCTGCTGCTGCACCTCCTGCTGCTGCTGCTGCTGCTGCTGATTCAGATGATAGGCGAGGGTCTATAGTACTAGAGGGAGTAGGCAACAAATATACAGATGCATGCATGCGCTCTGCTGGAGGCCAGAGGAGAGGGGGCCCCCCTCCTATAGAGAAACAGTTATCTGCTTCTTCTAGTACCTGCTGCTGCTGCTGCTGTTGTTGTTGTTGCCATTGCTGCTGCTGCTGCTGCTGCTGCTGCTGCTGCTGCTGCTGCTTATTATTCTTACGAGTAGCACGATTTAGATGTATTGCTGTTACTGTACCATCAGAGAAAGAAGATATAAAATAAACACCTCCTTGGCTCTCTGCTAGGCAGCAGCTAACACAGTGTTTGCTGCTCCTGCTGCTGCTGCTGCTGCTGCTGCTGCTGTTGCTGCTGTTGCTGCTGCTGCTGTTAGCTGCAAACGGCCACTGCAGCAAGTGCTTGTGGCCGTCAACAGAGCCCCAGAAGGATGCTGGCTCCGATAGAAGACGCAACCTGTTGCTGCTGCTGCTGCTGCTGCTGCTGCTGCTGCTGCTGCTGCTGTCTGCTGCACCAAAGAGAGCAGCAGATGGATTGAACATCGAAGGCATTGGAGACTCCTTCCGTTTAACAATGGCACCGCTGCTGCTGCTGCTGCTGCTGCTGTTGCTGCTGCTGCTGCTGCTGAGTTGCTGCAGCGATCCCCGTAGTGCTGTAGGGATGCGCCATACTTCACTAAGACTAAAGGAGAAAGTAGCTCCTGCTTCGTTCCATACATCTCCTGCTGCTGCTGCTGCTGCAGTTGCTGCTGCTGCTGCTGCTGCTGCAACTGCTGCTGCTTCAGGTGCTTCTGCTGCTGCAGCTGCTGCTGCAGGGAAGTGCTTACGAAGGGACCAACCAATCATAAGACGATCAGGCCTACTAGGAGTAACACCGAGGACGCCTAGGCCTGCGCTGCAGCAGGAGTCTGCTGCTGTCTCTCCTGCTGCTGCAGCAGCAGCTGCTGCTGCAGTTGCTGCTGCTGCTGCTTGTTCTGAAAAAACAGGGAAGAAGACAGGACCCGGCAGAGACGGACAGTCTGCTGTCAGCAACTGCAGCGGCACTGTCCCTAGCGCAAGTCCTCCCTGTCTCCCCAGGGTGAATCCCCCTTGCTGCTGCTGCTGCTGCAGCATTAGCTGCTGCTGCTGCTGCAGCTGAATATCTGGAAAAGACAAAGGAAAAAGAAAGAGACGCCCTCTTGAGGTGTATGCTAACAGGAGACACTCTGCTGCAGCAAAGGCAGCAGCAGGACACACCCTGCTGCCCCCAGGCCACAGGGCACCCGGCTCTAACAGCTGCTGCTGCTGCTGCTGTTGCTGCTGCTGCAGCTGCTGCTGCTCCCGGCTGTTGCGGCACTTCACGGTGTCTGCAGCAATAGATGCCCATAAGTCACTCATCTCCACAGGCAGCAACTGCATGCCAGCCCATGTTTCTCCCTGCAGCAGCAACAGCAGCAGCAGCAGCAACAACAACAGTAGCAGCGGCAGCAGCAGCAGCAAAGGCTGCACCTAGAGTAAACGGAGGAAGTACTAGACTACTAGCATCAAAGGTAACAGCAGCAGCAGCAGCAGCAGCAGCACGAGCTGCTGCTGCTGGAGGAGTAATGATTGTGTACGTACCTTGTGTGTCCTGCAGCAGCAGCCGACATCTTGCTGCTGCTGCATTTGTTGCAGCAGCAGCAACTCTTGCTGCTGCTGCATAGCAGGAGGGGCCCAAGGAAGGGCATCAGAGAGACAGAAGAGTTCTGCGTGTCTCTCGTATGTCCCTCCCTGTCTCCTTTGCCACAGCAGCAGTCTCCTGCTGCAGCGCAGCACAACATAAGAAGAGGAGACAGCTAGCTGCTGCTGCTGCTGCCTCCCGCTGCTGCAGAAAGTGTCTCCGTTTAATGTCCCTGTTGCTCCAAATATAGGAGCAACAAGGGGAGGCTCCCATCCGCTGCTGCTGCTGCTGCTGCTGCCGCTGCTGCTGCTGCTGCTGCTGCTGCTGGTGTTGGTGCCATTGGTAGCGCTGCTGCTGCTGCTGCTGCTGCTGGTAGTGGTGGTGGGTAGGTGCTGCTGCAGCACACTGGTCTTTGCTGCTGCAGCAACAACAGCAAGCATCTCGTCAGAGGAGCGGAGGGCCCAACCAGTAAGAGAGGGAGTAGCAGGAGACCCAGCAACAGGATGAGCTCGCCTCCAGCTCCTTAAGACACTCCTGCAGCAGCAGCAGCAGCAGCAGCAGCAGCAGCAAACAGCATCAGAACCAGGAACAGCATCAGCAGCAGCAGCAATTGTAAGAGCAGCAACTGCAGCAACAACGCCTAGATGGAGCTAGGCAGCAAGCAGCGAGCCTCATTCAATGGCAAGCAGCAATTGCTGCTGTTGCTGCTGCAACGAATACTGCAGCAGCAGCAACAACAGCAGCAACAACAGCAGCAGCAGCAGCAGCAAATCCTTACGCTAGATCCCAGACTCGAAGACAGCCGCATGCAGCAACAGCAGCGCAGCAAACGGATCCCATAAGAGGGGCAGGTAGACCTTGCTGCCCAGAGAGAGCAGCAGCAGCAGCAGCAGCAGTAGACTGCCGCTGCAGCTGCAGCTGCTGCTGCTGCTGCTGCTGCTGCTGCGGGTTCCCTGTGATGGATTGTCCTGGTTGGGGAATTACAAAAGAAGCAGCAGTTGATGATAAACCAGAAGAAGGAGCAGTAGATGCAGCAACCCTTGGATCCTGCTGCTGCTGCTGCTGCTGCTGTTGCTGCTGCTGCTGTTGCTGCTGCTGCAGTGTACGGCTGGGTAGTGCTCTTAAGTCTGCTGCACTGGTCACTCCGCCAGGGGGGGCCCCTGGGGGGCCCCCAGTTGCTGCACCCACTAAGAGGTCCTTATATACATTATTAAGTCTCTCTACATAGTCCTCTGCGTCAAAGGGGGGAGGCGGCTGAGCAGCAAAGGAGACAGGGGCCCCCATGGGGCCCCCTGGGGCCCCCCCCCCATAGGAGGCACCACATAGGTTACAGCAGCAAGGGGGCCCCTCCTGGGGGCCCCCTGTGGTGGCACCAAAGGTCTCCGCGGTATCTGCTGAAGATGCAGCTCCGGGACCTCTAGGGGGGCCACCTTGGGGGGCCCCCACTTGGGGGGGCCCTGCCTGTGGGGCCCCCACTTGGGGGGCCCCCCCTCCTATGGGGCCCCTAAAGGAAAGCTCACATACAGGGGTAAAGGCTGCCCATGTATCTAAGACGAGGCCCCTACCAGCACCTATACAAGGAGACAGGAGACACATAGATAAAAGGAGACAAATAAATAAAAAGGAGACAAATAAATAAAAGGAGACAATTAAATAAATAAAAGGAGACAATTAATTAAATAAATAAAAGGAGACAATTAAATAAATAAAAGGAGACAATTAATTAAATAAATAAAAAGAGACAATTAAATAAATAAAAGGAGACAATTAATTAAATAAAAGGAGACAAATATATAAACAAATAAATAAATAAGTAAATAGAGGCAAATAAATAAATAAATAAATAAAGGGAGACAAATAAACAAACAAATAAATAAATAAATAAATAAATAAATAAATAAAGGGAGACAAATAAACAAATAAATAAATAAATAAATAAATAAATAAATAAAAAGGAGACAATTAATTAATTACCTGTAGCTAATATAAATCTTGGATCCGCAAGTGTCTCCACAGAAGAAACCTCAAAGGGTAAACGTCTATAAATAAATAAATAAATAAATAAATAAATTAAATAAATAAATAAATAAATTAATTAATTAATTAAATAATTAATTAATCGATTAATTAATTATTTAATTTATTTATTTATTTATTTATTTATTTATTTATTTATTAATAAAAAGGAGACAGCTAGTTATAAAAGGAGACAACTAAATAAATAAAAGGAGACAAATAAATAAATAAAAGGAGACAAAAAAAAGGAGACAATTAAATAAATAAAAAAAGACAAATAAATAAATAAATAAAAGGAGACATTTACTTAATAAAGGAGACACATAAAAGGAGACAAATAAATAAATAAATAAAAGGAGACAAACAAATAAAAAAAAAAGGAGACAAATAAATAAAAAAAAAAGGAGACACTTACTTAACAAGGGGACAAATAGATAAAAGGGGACAAATAAATAAATAAATAAATAAATAAATAAATAAATAAAAAAGGAGACACTTACTTAACAAGGAGACACCTTCCCTCTGTAAGAGACCATAGCCTTGCCCTTAGATCGGAGTGTACAGACACCACAAGTTCTTGACTAGTTGCATGCAGTGCAGCAAGAGGTGCAGCAACAAAGCATGCTGCTGTTGCTGCTGCTGCTGCTGCACCTGTACCCCATTCAGGTAGTAATACTAAATGAGGAAGCAGCAAAGGGTTACGTGTTGATGAGGGGGCACCTCCTCCTGCTGCTGCTGCTGCTGCTTTTGTGGCTGCTGCTGCTGCTGCTGCTGCTGCAGCACATCCTGCTGCTTGGCCTGCAGCAGCAGCAAGTCCAGCAGCAGCAGCAGCAGCAACAGGGTCATCCCCTTGACCCGCGCATTTGCTGCTGCTTCCATTACTATTGTTGCTGCTGATGTTGCTGCTGCTGCTGCTGCTGCTGCTGCAGCATAGCTGCTGCTTGCTGCTGCTAATTTGCCATAGATAAAGGGGACCTTGGTGTGTCCCTGTTATACAAAGAGAAGAAAAAGAAGAAAAAGATAAAAAGGAGACACTAGAGGAGACACATATATCTGGCCATACAATAGAGGCTAACCATTTAGGGTCCAACATCCTGCAGCAGCAGCAGCAGCAGCAGCAGCAGCAGCAAGAGCAACAGCAGCAGCAGGTGCTGCTGATGCTACTGCTGCTGCTGTTGCTGCTGTTTTATACCGCTGCCCTTATGTTGCTGCTGCTGCTGCTGCTGCTGTGTTTGTGGAGGCTCAGAAGGATTAAGATGCAGCAGCAGATATATGAACTCTTGGCCTGTTGCTGCTGCTGCTGCTGTTGCTGGTGCTGCTGCTGCTGCTGTTGTAGTTGCTGCTGCTGCTGCTGATGCTGTTGCAGCACAACAGATTGAATACAGAAAAGATATATCGTTAATACTGTCCCTAGGAGACACAGGGAGTACTTGCTGCTGCTGCTTGTACAGCTGATTTATAGCAGCAGCAGCAGCTGTTGCTGCTGCTGCTGTTGCTGCTGCTGCTATAGCTACAATTGCTGCTAATCAGCTTCAAGGAGAGCAGCAGCAACGCCTCAATTATGCTGCTGCTGCTGCTGCTTTATTATTTATTAATGTGTGCTGCTGCACTGCATGCAATGGATCCTTGACCTGCAGCAACACGCCGGGGGCCCCAGGCAGCAGCAGTCCGCTGCTGTTGCTGCTGCTGCTGCAGCTGCTGCTGCAGCAGTATATAAACTAGTAGTTAATCCCTAAAAATAAACATTTTTCTGTACATTTTATTCAGCAGCAAATAATGTAGAAGATTTGCTCTAACTGCAGCAGCAGCAGCAGCTGCTGCTGCTGCAGCTACCGCTGCTGTTGCTGCTGCCGATGCTCGCTGCTGCAGCCAACCACCCCTACCTTTGTCTTGTTGCTGGGGGGCCCCACCGCTGCGGTGTATAGGCAGCTCCCCCCTCATTAAGTGTCTTCTCCTTTTTGTGTCTTTGTCTTATTCTTATTGTTCCTTAGAGGAGTATAAATAAGCTCTTCCCCTGCTGCTGCTGCTGCTGCTGCTGCTGCTGCATCCTTTCTGCTGCTGCAGCTGTATCGTTGTTGCTGCTGGCTTGTTCTCTACATCGATTCCTCCCGTTCCCCAGACATGCACCGCGGACGCCGCTGGTGGCGGGTGGCTGCAGCAGCTGCAGCAGCTGCAGCAGCAGCTGCGCTGCTGCTGCTGCAGCAACAACCTGCAGCAGAAGCATTTATTGTGGGGGGAAGCAGCAGCATGCTGCTGACACCTACACCCATGAGCAGCAGCAGCAGCAGATTCCTCTCTTCTTATACAGATGCTGCTGCCTTTTCCCCTAGCCGCCGCAGCGCAGCAAGAGCAGCAGCAGCAAGAGCCGCAGCAGCAGCAGCAGCAGCAGCAGATCCTGATGTATCCGAAACTGCAGATGAGGAGGTGAGACAATTAACACTTGCATATCTCCATTAGTGTTGTAGTGTGCAGCAGCAGCAGCAGCTGCAGCTGCTGCTGCTGCTGCTGCTGCACACAAAACAAGCTAGGGTGTACAGGGAGGTGTATCGATGGTCTATTGACGTGGTCTAAGGGTTTAGGGTTTAGGGTTTAGGGTTTAGGCATTGGATGTATTTGTTGTGTACATTTATGGCTATAAGTATCTCTCTCTTTTTTTTTTCTTTCTTTGCTGCAGTTGCTGCTGCTGCTGCTGCTGCGACCTTTGCTGCTGCTGTTGTTGCTGCTGCTGCCTGTACTGTATCCTTTTTCTGTATTATTTCCTGTCTATACCTTTATCTACTGCATGTTTTCCTCATTTTCTATTCCTTTTTCTGTCCCTGCTGCTGCTGCTGCTGCTGCTCCCCCTGCTGCTGTTGCTGCTGCTGCTGCTGCTGCTGCTGCTGCTGCTGCTGGTGCAGGTTGAGGAGGAGGAAGAGGAGACACGTAGTACAGGTCGTGTAACACGTAAGGAGATAATAGATGAGTTAGTAGAGGAGACAGGAATAAATAAGTTAATAATAAATAAATTAATAAATAAATTAATAAATAAATTAATAAATAAATTAATAAAAGGAAGAAAAATATATATTAAGGGTTTAGGTACTTTCTTATTAAGGAGAAGAAAAGAAAGAATAGCAAGAAACCCTAAGACAGGAGAACCTGTTGCTGCTGCTGCTGCATCTTTTCCTTATCTATCTTTTTCTAAGGGTTTACGATTAGCAGTAAGAGATACAATACCATTAGATACAGCAGCAGCAGCAGCAGCAGCAGCAGCAGCAGAGGAAGAAGCAGGGGGAGCAGGGGATACATCAAGGGTCCAGCAGCAGCAGCAGCAGCAGGAGAAGAAAAGTTCTTCTAAGCTTTTTGGTTGGATGCCTTGATAAACCCTAAACCCTAAACCCTAAACCCTAAACACTAAATACTTTCTCTAGGGCTGCAGCAGGAGACAGTTTGCTGCTGCTGCAGCTGCAGTATATAGTTCTCTGCTCCTGCTGCTCCTGCTGCTGCAGCAGATAGTTTGCTGCTGCTGCAGATACAACACAATACACAACAACGTTTGAACTCCTCTTGTCCTTTGTCTTTATTAATAAATACTCTCTTCCTGCTGCTGTTGCTGCTGCTGCTGTTGCTGCTGCTGCTGCTGTTTCTGTTGCTGCTGCTGTTGCTGCTGTTCTCCAGCTAGATAGGGATATAATAGTCTAAGGGTAGCAGTAAGAGTAGCCTAGAGTTTACTCGTCTCTAGGGTTTAGGGTTTAGGGTTTAGGGTTTAGGGTTTGCTGCTAAAGAGACGAGCATGTCATGACAATATACCCCAAACATACGAGCAGCAGCAGCAGCAGAATCAGCAGCAACAGCAGCAGCAGCAACAAGAGTAGCAGCAGCAACAGCAACACCAGTAGCAGATGGACAATTGTGTCTCTAAGGAGGATCTAGCGCACTAGTGTTTAGGGTTTAGGGTTTAGGGTTTTTGATAGGGAAGCAAGGATTAATTAGCATGAGTTGAATAACCAAGGTCGGGGTTCAACAGAAGCAAGAGTAGAATATTAGGGTTTAGGGTTTAGGGTTTAGGGTTTAGTGTCGAGACCACACTATCGACACCTAGGGTAGACAGGGAGAAAAGGCAGGGGAGGTTTAGTGTATTTGTTGTACATTTGCTTTTTTTATATATAAATATTACTTGTATTCAATTTCTTTATTTAGGGTTTAGGGTTTAGTGTTAAGGGTTAAGGGTTTAGGGTTTAGGGTTTATGGTTCGGCCACTAGCCATTGGCCCTTCATCGTCATTCGTTGTGTAGACAGCGGAGTATAAATGCATTATTTGTTGCACTTCCTTGCTATAAATAATTAAATTGACTAATTATTTATAATTATAATTTATTTATTGTTTTTTTTCTTGTTTTTTTGTTGATTTATTCGTCATTTTCCCTCGGTAGCTTGCTGGCGGTCGAGCGGTGCTTTCGGGTGTACATGCACAAACCCTAAACACTAATTTTGTGTTCTTTTTTCTTTTTTTTCTTTGTCTATGATCATTTATATACATTTATATTAATTATATATTATGCTTGTCTAGTAGAGGCTTAAGAAAAGCCCTACTTCTATAC